CTGGTAATCTTAATACTTTATGGGTGACCAACTAGTGATAAGTCCATTCTATGTGTAAGGAAACTGGTGTGTAATGAGAGACCAACTAGTGATAAGTCCATTCTATGTGTAAGGAAACTGGTGTGTAATGAGAGACCAACTAGTGATAAGTCCATTCTATGTGTAAGGAAACTGGTGTGTAATGAGAGACCAACTAGTGATAAATCCATTCTATGTGTAAGGAAACTGGAATATTTTGGAATTTCTCTTTGAAAACTGTAAATGAAAGCTCAATTTATCATCATATGAAATAAACGGCGTTTCTAGACCAATACCGTAGATAATTAAGTGCCAGATGTTATATGGCTATGTTCTTCTGAATTGGTGGTTATATACCACAACAGAGGTTGCAGAAATTTGAAAATAAATCCAATATACACAATTACTCACACACGGGGGTGAAATTCTCAACAGAAAAATAAAAAAATAGAGGTACTTAGCTGGGTGAAGTGAACCTGTTTTTGAAAAAAGAAAAAAAAATATATGTGTAAACATAAAAAATGACAAAGTCCAGGTACCGGTAGAATTTAACCCCTTCTCACACAAACAGGTTAACACCTTTAAATTCATGAAATAGTAGTTAAATAAAATTTTTAATGAGAGTCAAAAAACATAATAACATGCTCTTTCACCCGTGACCCGTCTTGAAAGGGGTTAACACATTAACTGAAGAGGTAAAAGAACATGTACTAATGGGAAGACTGCTTACAATAACATACCTAAATCCGTCTGTTTCTTTTTTCTGAGACTTCCCTAACTTATCAACGAATGACAGCTGGCCTTGTTTGTTGTACTGGAAGACCATAGGGCTACAATCATACCCCTGTCGTAAAAAGAAATTGGATACATCTTTTGAGTTACAGTCGACATATTCGATCGTTAAGCTTCTACGTAACTGTCATACAATCTACGAGAGCAATCAGAAAAACGAAGAAGTTTTAGACGAAAAAAAACTGTACCTTTCTAAAACGATTATAATTTTGTGAAATGTCAGTAACAAAATTCCAGTTAGCTCATCTATTTACGTGTGGTAGTGACAACTTTTAATGTTGTTGTATTTAAGAAGCTTGATTCCAAGTTTTTTCAAGATGCAATCTATTTCTAAATAAATTAAAAGTTCAACCAACTTTGAAAATTAGAGGGTTCTAAATCTGACCAAAAAAAAAAAGATGAGTTCAGTTACCGGTAAAAAATCTCAAACATAAAACACGTTTTTATTATAAGATATGATTTAAAGAAATTTTATTGTAAATGAAGTTGCAACTGTGAAAAAAAAAAAGTTTATGTTAACCAAACACTTAAAAAAATTGTTATATTAATTGTAATGTAAAGAGAGAAAAAAAAAAGTTTATGTTAACCAAACACTTAAAAAAATTGTTATATTAATTGTAATGTAAAGAGAGAAAAAAAAAAAAGGTTAAAAAAGGATACAACAAACTATGTATCACAACCGTCACCTATCCTAATATACATATATGATATTATATATATTATAGACAATGTGATACAATTCCTTCTCAATGATTCTGTTGTAAGGGATTTTTTCAACAACTCTCTTAAAGGAAAACAATAAGAAATTTTGTGTGTAAGCTAGATAACCCCACCAAAACTCACAAGTTAATAAACTTTGTATTACTTACTGCAGCAACAATGGTATCCACAGAACTCCACAAACATGTGATAAACGGTAAGTACTGAGTTCTTAGTGTAACCAATCTGTGGATGAATACAGAAATGACAACTATCAGCTTTTGTTTAAAGCAAGTGAAGTACAAAAAATAACATGATTATATGTAATTATACTTGTCATAAGGCATTAGTATTAGGCCTAATATATTTGTTAACACTACATTCTTTATCTAGCCCATAGAGATTTTTCTTGAATTAGAACAGTTTACAACAATAGTATTCCAACCAAACTATGCTCTCTATATCAATAACGTGGTTGAAATACTATTATTATAAAATCTTCTAATTCTTTGAAATCCTTAAAGGATTAGATAAAGAATATAATGTTAAAAATATAATAGGCTTAATACTAATGTCATACGACAAGTATAACTACCGAGAACATGACAATTAAAAACTGACAACTTAGTGCAACAAACTGACTTAACGAGACCTACCTAATTCAACTTTTGGAGAGTCATCTTTTATATGGTTAACCTTTAAACACTGGGCTACGATAACCTTAACAAACTTAACCTACTGAAAGTGTTATCAGTTTAATCCTTGTCCGCAAACAAAACTAGCGTAACTAGTCGTGAGCGTAGATTTTAAGGACTCAAGCCTAAGTTTTCAAATGTGATAAAAGATTATATTTATCTTATGGACCCATTAAACCTCTTACACTTCACTTTCAAAGACATCCTTAGCCCACCTACCCTCCAGCCCAACTCTACGTTGAAAGAAATAAACAGCCCAAAGAGGGATTCCATTTAACAACACTGACCAATAGAAATGGTGAAAGTTTACATGTTAATAACTGACAAATATTTTAATTAGCACATGAAATACTACGTTACTCACTCTTCCAAGCCTTCTACTATGCAAATATATCAATCACAACAATAAGATCATTTTTTTATGCTTACTCCTGCTCAACTGAAAGCACGGCTAACCCTTTCAGTGAGGTTTGAGATATTTCTCTAGTAAGTGGGCCTTTTACGAGTTGTAACTGTACGTCAGGTAGGCCCTTGGTTCCTACAAGTGGACCTTTTGTCAGTTGGGTAAGGTGTGCCTTGAAAATGGTCTTTTAATTAAGATCTTGTGTGCTCTAACTCGATAGACCAGTTTTGATGTGAATAATCTTTAATAAAAAAGTTATCGTACACACTTCTGACTAAAACATTTGGAGAACTAAGACAATGATAAAATTTTCTATCAGTCATATAGTAAGTAATATTTATATTTTTATTAACTATACAAGGACGTACACACACATACACGAGAGTACTATAACGTACTGACGTACACACACATACACGAGAGTACTATAACGTACTGACGTACACACACATACACGAGAGTACTATAACGTACTGACGTACACACACATACACGAGAGTACTATTTACGTCAGTACGTTCACACATATACACGAGAGTACTATAACGTACTGACGTACACACATGTACAAGAGTACTATAACGTACTGACGTACACACATGTACAAGAGTACTATAACGTACTGACGTACACACATGTACAAGAGTACTATAACGTACTGACGTACACACATGTACAAGAGTACTATAACGTACTGACGTACACACATGTACAAGAGTATTATAATGTATGGACGTACACACATATGCAAGAGTATTATAACGTACTGTCTAAAAAAAATAACTTTTTTTTTTATCACATCTTTTGATTTGGAATACAAATAAATTTTTATGTTTTAAAAGTAAATATTTCCAAAACCAAAGAAAAGTTAAAACTATCAAAAGCAAGTGTTTTTATATTTTAACTGACTTCATGTCTGCTTCGGCATCCACAACCGAGATGGTGCTGTTGTGGCTCACCCAGGCAAGCTTGTTACCGTCTGTGGAGAAACTGACACAGTGGATCCAGCCCCCTATTAATAACATTCATAACAAAATATTAATGTTTATTTTTGGCCATCTATAACCAAATTAGGCTTACTAAAACTATCAATATTTAGCATCTAAATTCTGTTTATAAACGGATATCTACAAACAATTTAGGTTAATTAACTAAACTTAACTATATTCAACATCCAATGTTC